GGAGGGGGGGAGGGTGGGGATTGTTGGTGGTTGGCATTCCGTGTTACTTGAACTTAATGAACTTTGAACCATAATAACATTCTGTTTTTCCAGTAAAAAAAAAGTAAGAATGAAAATTAGAGTATACTAAACTTGCCATTTCATGGAAGTAGAAAGATATATCTATTGATGTTCATTGGGTTTAGGTTTATAACTTTATATGGATGCAATACCTGAAGAGTTGGTTAACTGATAGTTCTATGGAAGGATTGTTCAAACACCAAGTGTCTTCTTGAAGGCATTTTATAGTTTGAAGAGGTTTTGATACCCCAAGGTTTACTGTTTGCACAAGGAGCTACTCTTTTCTTTTTTTTTTCTGCTTTGTTGATTTTGAAAATTCCTTTTCCAGTCATATGTGTTAGTTCATATTGTTATTCATGTTAAGTGCAGGTTGTTGCCCTTGTTTGCAATTTTTCGGGCTCTCATGATACTTCAGCTGTGTGGCTTAATCATTGGGAAGTAGAAACTTTATTTCATGAGTTTGGACACGCTCTTCATTCACTGCTTTCAAGAACAGTATGTTTTATTATGCTCAGCTTCTTGGTGACGGAGTGCTTATTTCATTTTAGTGAAAGCATTTCTTGGTTATTCTTGTAGGATTATCAACATTTTTCTGGAACCAGGGTTGCTCTTGACCTAGCTGAGACACCTTCAAATCTCTTTGAGTGAGTGGAATGCATTAGTTCTGCAGTATCATTGGTCTTGTTGTCTTCCCAACTTACTTAAAACATACTATCACTGAAAAGGCAAAAGTAAATCTAAATGATATTTGAGAAAAGTTGTACCCTTTTCTGTTGGGGAAAAGAAGTACTTGGAAGCTTGCAAAAGTAAATCCACCATTGGAAGCCAAATTCAAATGTTCCTCTCAAGATTACTCATCAAATACAAGTAATTTTTTTACAAACCTCAATTCCAACTTTTTTCACAAACCTCAATTCCAACTTTTTTCACAAACCTCAATTCCAACTTCTTCTTTTTTTCTACATTGTGACCAGTGGTCCAGTGAATAGAGCTGTTACTCTGATAAATTTAGGAAAGATACAGATGACAACCAGAAATTGGTTTTTTTAACTCAACACAAGATGCAATCTTCAGATTATGGCATTATCCTTGCTTATATGAGACCAGTCTCAATGAACTTACCTCCTATTTTTGAAGTACTGACATACTTTCATATGGCCTCAATTTTAAGTACTAGTAGGAGAGATGCATTCAGTGCATTATGCCAACTTGAAATTTGATTTTGGTTGTGATCCTAGGTACTATGCATGGGATTACCGAGTCCTAAGGAGATTTGCTAGACACCATTCAACTGGAGAAGCAATACCTGAGAAGTTGGTAGCATCAATTCAACATGCAAGAGACATGTTTCAAGCAACTGAACTGCAACGTCAGGTTTGTTGTCTAAAGCCCTCAATGAATCAACATTTTATTTGTACCATTTCACATTAGCCAGGAAGAAGTAATGACCATACTTACATTTTCTCATTGGCTTTCTATCAGATATTTTATGCTTTGATTGACCAAACACTTTTTGGGGAGCAGCCACCTGTGACAAGAGGCACAAGTTCTATTGTTGCAGATCTAAAAAGACAACATACCAGTGGGAAGCATGTGGAAGGCACACATCTGCATATCCGTTTCAGTCACCTCATCAATTATGGTGCTGGTATGTCTTAATTCTTAATCATCTAATGTCTGTTTTGGGAAATAACCGCCTGCAGGTCTTCTTTTACATTTTAAATACAAGCTTCGCTGTCATGTCTGGAAAGAACGGAAAATGTACTGCGTAACTATCAATATCTTGATGTTTAAGAGTTGAGGACAATGCAACCAATATGGGTTTTGGCAGGATGTAAAATTTATCCACATCTTCTATATTTTGTATTCTTCATATTTATTAAGCGGTGGTGGCTTCTGTGCATTAGTTTAGTATTCAAATATGACAGCCATGACTTAAACAACCAACATGTTCTGACTATCTTATCATCAATTTAAATTATTAATAAAACTAATGGCTTTACGTCATATCCTTTGACTGAAAACATGATTTCCATGCATCATTTGAAATTCATCTGGTTGAATCACATTCACAAGTGGCACTTTTCAACATTAAGAAACTTCCCTGACTTTTGTGCACACCATTTATGATTTAATTTTTTTTCTTAACAAATAATAGCATTAATTATTAATTTTAAACCAGTATGATCTTTTGGCTGAAAATACATTGGAGAATTATTACATTCAATTTAAATACTATTCTTATGCAGTATGCACTGATTTTGGCTTTCATTAATGTAGGTTATTACAGCTACTTGTATGCCAAGTGTTTTGCAGCAACCATATGGAAAAAGCTATGCCAAGATGATCCACTATCACTGACAACAGGTACTGCCCTAAGAACAAAATTTTTGCAGCATGGCGGAGCCAAAGAACCAGCAGAATTGTTGAATGATCTGGTAGGGGATGGGATTCTAAGGTATTCTAACGGAGGAATAGTACCTGACATCACAAGTTTTTTGGATGAAGTACGGCTGGTAGAAGAAGATAAGCGAAGTCGGCTACTTCGTAACTGACCAAAGGCCATGTAACGAGCAAATGCTTGTTACTAGTTAGGCCGAGGGTATTCTGTAACGCTTTGCGGTTAGGTACTCGTTATGATATCAATTTTTGCCAGTGAAGTAGACGGCTACAGTTGTATGATAAATGTGACTCACTAGAAGATTGTTTGATTTATTTGCAAAGCTGTTTAAACAATTACTTTGAAATTTTCATAAATGATCAAAAAGATAGGAGTATCAGCTTTCAGATTCAAGCAAGCTTTTCGTCTGTATATGCCTTTTTGGTTTTTCCCCATTTCCCATATTTTGAGTGGGTTGTGATTTGAATCTAACGTTGTAATGACTACAAACAGCTCTCTACAGGTAGTTTGTTTTCAACAGTTAGTATCCATTCACAGATAATAGAATTCACTTCTTCTGGCAGCTCATCGTGGGGACAATGCCCTGAAATATCAGAAACAGGATGCAATTAAAGGGGGAATAGGATAACGAAGGAAAAACAACTTCCTGAGGATGATATAGAGTAGCATGACTACCTGCATTCAATTCTTTAACCGTCACTCCTGCGCAATGCTCTTTAAGCATGGCTACTTTGGATTTGGAGTCTGAGATTGGATCTTTCATTCCCTGATAAATGTATTTAAATATTTGTAAGCAATCAACTCAAAATAGAGACAATGGACGAGCATTATAATGATTTTTCAGTGTGTTGAGATTTTGCATACCTGCACGATCAGAACTTTTTCCTCTAACCCTTCCAAGAGATAGTTAAGAGGAAGAGAAAGATCGAAGCTGAAGATACTTTCCAGGACCACTAGCACCCCAGGATCATAAGACTTCATGATATGTTAAGGTCATCCCTTGAGTAAATAGCTAGATACCTATTCTAGTTTTATAAACACAACCAGACACGTGCATATGATTGACTGTAATTAATTAAGTGGATACTGCTCTCACCATTTCACTAATAAGCCAATCATCAGCTCGCTCAGTTTTCTGTGAAGTCAAAGCCCAGCGTAATATTAGATGCCATAAAACATCTAGTAGCAATATGCGAAAGTAGGAAGGGGCACTCAAAAAACATACAGCTGGATAGCAATTTTTCACTATGCTCTTGATAGTCAACCTCAAACATAACCAAAGCAGTCGCGCACCAAGCCATGCAGCCCCTGAAGGTCGCCTCTCCTGAAACATTTCCAAATAAATAACCAAGACTAAAATCTGGAGGACAAAATTTTAATTGTGAAATTTGCAGAAGAAAGGGGCAATTCTTTTGAACTATTTTTATGGCCAACTTAAAAACATCAAATTAGACAACCAAATACGTCAAAGGATATGCAAAATATGTGCAAAGTTTAGAAATCATATGTATATATAGACTTACTTTGGAGAACAGCTGAGAAAACCCAGGAATGACATTTCCAGCACTGTTGATAAGGGCAACAGATTTAACCAAGCTAGGCCATAGACAGGCAACAATTGATACAATGTAGCCTGGAGATACAGGAGTTTAGCAAATCAGCTGTTCACAGACACACATGCCATACATGGGCATGCACACACAGAGGAGAGAGAGAGAGAGAGAGATAGAGAGAGATGGCAGTTAAAACTTTAAAAATATACCCCCAAGTGAGTTCCCTACTAGATGCACCGGTTCACCCACGACTTCAACAATAAAATCTCTCAGCATTTCAGCCCACAGAAGTTCAGTGTATACAATATTTGGCTTTTCTGATTTGCCAAATCCTAAGAGCGTGATGGCCCAGACCCAATTTCCAGTTTCAGCTATCTCCTTTATATTATCACGATAATGCTCAAAAAAAGCACCAAAACCATGCACGAGTAGAGTGGCAGGGCCTCCTTCACCAACTACTGTGTACTAAAAGAAGAAATAGTTTACTAGTGGAAAGTTAGAGGAATATAATTTAGATGGTGTATGAGGCATGAAATCTTCTATACCAACAGATAGGATACCAAAGAGGCTATGAGATTAAAACTAAAATGCCAAACATATGTTACAGTTTCACATTCCTAACCTGAATTAGATAGCTGTTCCATCTCCACATACGGATCGAATATGTTCCTTCATTACTTATTAGACTTTTTTGTGCCATCAGCGAATACCACTGCCACCAAAACCAACTTATATGCATTAAAAGGTTTTGAACTAAATGGTGATTCAAAAACTAGAAACAGAACCAATGGGTGGTCACATGTGTATCAATCAACGGAAGTAGTAATATGTGCATCAGAGGAGCAATTTGTAGACACATAATACCTCCATTGAGCACACAGCATCAGCTGCTGCTGCAACAGTAGTTGTTGAGTATCCAAAAGGAGATATAAATCCAGCATTCCGTTCCTTCTCATATGTGATAGCTTCATGATGCACCCTTCTATTAGATATGATGCCAAGATGTAGGGCAGGGCCAAAAATTGAAATAAAAGAAGCCCCTTCCCGACTTTCAGCATTACGCAACCTTTCATGTACCCTGCAACAAATTCAAGTCGAAGGACATTTAGGCCAATGTAAATTGAACTATCATACTATCAGATTCAAAACATTTCATTCAAACAACATCCTTTCAAAACCCTACAGATGAAACCCAAAGCACCAAGACACCTACTGTGCAAGTCAGAGAAATTCAAACAGTTCATATCTGTACTTTGTACTTAGTAAACACCAAATATCATGGTTATAGTAGAGCCATGTTTACCTAAACATGAAAATTGTCACCTTTCCTCAAATATAAGCCATGCTAACTTAAGGAAGTCAAGCAATTTATTTTCCATTCAAACATTCTTCCCTCCAATAACAATAATAATAATTGGAAGGCATTTCAGACTAAGAAAAATTTTAAGCATGTAAGGATAATTGCAAGTCCAAGACTAAATAAGTCAGCACCCCAGATATCAAGTTTCCAATCATAAAAAGGTGAATATACAGGACACAATAAGTGATTGACCTACTCACTAGAACATGGAATATGTCAATATGCATAAGCATTAATCAACACTTTGTATTAACGTTTATTACTTTTTTCAATATATGCAAAAGAAGATACTCAGAAAATCTTAAAATGTACTTGCAACCCTAAACATCCCATTTTTAGACGATATGTTGAACCAGAGGGTACAAATCAACACATACTCTTGCCAGTCATCTCGAGCTGTTCCCTCCAAATATCTCAAATATGCAGCTAGTGCATTGAGAACTGAATCGGTCCCACCTCCTACAATATTTCCTTTGCGTGTCACAAAAGCAGATTTATCCAGTTTCTTCTTCTCATTATGTTCAAATTTTGAATTTTCTGACAATAATCCTGATGATTTTGGGAATTTCTTCTGCAATAAGGTTTCTGCTGACATCTCCTTGATCATATTCCAATTCTCTAATGATTTGTTTGAATTCCCATTCATGAATTCTTTAAGGTCCTCAAACGAGGGAAGAGAACCTGTTTCATAGTTAAATCATCAAATTTCATATCAGTGGTCTGAACTGCATTTTTTTAAACTAGGAAGCTAAATGTAGTCCCTGAATCATTTGATATAAGAAAAAGGATGAAAAAAGCAATTTTCAGCAGAAGAAACTAACCCCAGTCCATTTCCACTTCCACAGCTGGTAATGATGGAGGCAGAACAGGCAAGGTTGGCAATAACTTAAGTTTCTTAAAGTCATCATGCGATGCAGGCAGGTCCTTCATATTCTGCACAGCATTTATGTGCAACAAAGGATTTAGATATCAAAGGACCTATACACAACAAATTCAAGTAGGCAAAATCTCTGAGGCAAAAAAGATCACCTTAATATCATAAAACGGAGTCTGCCATAGAACAATATCCAGGTTTCCATCTAGAAAAGGCACTTCTTCCATGTTCCTTTTCACCACTTTGATCATCTCATGCATCTCATACTCCAGTTCCACTTCAGCATATACATTACAAGCTTTTATCTGTTCCAATCCTAGGTGATAAACGTAACAACATGAGTCTGTGAAGGATTCAAGGTTGTCTCAAGCCTGGACAAGTATCATCATAGTAAGCAAATTTAAAAGAGATAATCAACCTGTTTTACAAGCTCTGCTATGACGCTTTCTGCACTCCCGAACCTGATCATCAGATTAGTTCCCTGTTTCCTCAATGAATTTCTCAAATCATTTAGAGCAAAAAGAACGAGTTCTAGTATTTCATCAGAGTAACCTGCAACAATTATTAAGAAAAATTAAAATGTTAGAACTACATCGAATTCGACCAGATGCGTATATTTTCAATGTCTCCATTTAAACAGCAGACGAAACTAAAGCAAGTGACTCACGAGAGAGAATCCGGCGGTCGAATACGTAGAGAGGGAGTACAGAGCGATGGGATTTGGCGGCGGCGACAAGTGCAGGATGATCGTCGAGGCGGAGATCGTGCTTGAACCAAAGAATAGCGGCACCGCTCTTACTTCCGCTGGTTTCCGCCGAGTGACAGCAGATGAAGTGCCCCTTTCTTCTTCGCGAGCTCGGACCGAAGCGGAGGGAGTGAAGGTGGGAGAAAGCGATGACGGCCATGAATAGAGCTATAGCAGTGGCGACTAAGAGCAGCACTTTCCATGAAAGTAGAAATCTTGAGAGCTTAAAGATAACTAGGGTTTCATAGGTGATTGGCGTGCGAGAAACCGAGGAATTGTGGAGGAGAAAGTTCGGGAAAATTTTTGTGGAGGAGAACCGTGTAACGGGCATTTTTTTCAGTACAAACTCAGAGTGCGTGACAAAAACAGGGCGCATATGGCGCGTGGGGGAGACATATAATGTAGCTTTTTATATTTTATCCTTAGCCCCCCATAAAAAACTATTTTCCTCTGGAACCATTTGTCTTTAGTGGTTTCTAATTTAGTAATTATAAATTGCCCTCACTATTGTTGTTTTGTATCTTTTTTTCTTTTCTTTTTTTTTTGGATTCTTCTTTTTTAGCTTCCATGTTAATCAATTTTTTTCCCTTTGTTGTATTTTATATTTTGATCAATTACAACAACCTTTTGATCTTTGATACATAGAAGTTGTACTAAGCTTTTTTATTTAATAAGGGAAATTTTGGGAATGAGAGAATATTTGGGTATAAAATTTAAGATATTGTAATTTTAATACTTGTTTAAAGGATAGTGACTATTAACTTATTTAGTATCAAATGTTGTATTAAAATATTTAGTGGAAAGAAAATCATTAGCTTAAAATTAAAATATAGTATATTTTCATTATAAATATCTAACTCAAATAAATATGATAATACCTTAAATTTATAATTATAAATGTTAAGTACACCCTTAAAGTCAATTATTGACACTTGACTTCAGCTATTTAGTGTCACCTCTCTTTTTATAGATGGAAAGCTAACTACAATAGGGCATTGTTTCTTAATTTTTTTACAAGTTGATAGCTATACACTAAAAAAATAAATGCTAAGTACACCCCAAAACATTCAAATTTAATTCTATTTTTTTTCTCAGTTCTATTATTTTCCTACAGTAGAGAGGTGAAATTGACACACTAGAACCAACATTGTCATACAGATTCAATTCTAAATCTCTCTCCTACAGAATGATAAGAATTAAGAAATGACATGTTAAATGTGTGACAAACTAGAAATTATTGTCCTATAACTTTTGAAGAGAAGGGGAGGATTTAGCATAAATACTCAATATTTGAGGGACGATTACATGAATGGTGCCAAGCTCCGAAGCAAAATCCGGCGCATTCGTCGCTAACCAACTAAACTGAAAATGGCGCTACAAATCCACACTCCATCTTCTCCCCATAAACCCTATCGTCGCTATCTTCCATACACGCCCTTCTTCGTCCTCACCAAATCCAGATTCGCTGTTAAAACCCAAAAGCCCATCGTCGATTCCGAGCCTGTTGCTGAGCCTCCGCCGCCCAAAAAAGTGGCGGCACCGGGGTAAGGGTTTGGGTCATCTTCTTCTACCCTCTCACCGCCGGGAAAGTCCACGGAGAAGCAGAAGAGCAAGAGAGAGAGGGCATCGGTAATCAGGCGGTCACCGGTTGAGACCCAGCTTTCTTAAGCAAAGAAGAAGAGGTTAAATTTGAGGAGCAGAGGAGGAATGAGAGTGCTTTTCCTCTTGCTTGGTTGGGGCTTGGTGGGATCATTCTTGTGGAGGGAATTGTTCTTGCTGCATCAGGTATGTGCGTAGGATTTGGTGAAATTTGCATTGGGATTGGGAATTTAAACTCGGTTTAGGGGAAATGAAACTAGATACGTTGTTTGATCTTGGGGGAGAAAAAAGATGACAACTTTTTTGAGAATTTTTGAACTTCATAGTAAGCTGCCCTTTCCAGTTTATTCATTCAAGAGTTAGATGAGTTTCCTGGTAATTTAGTTTATATTCGGTAGAGTTCAGTTGGATTACTGAATAGTTGTTTCTTGAAGTCATTATTAGCCAAAAATGGACTAATGTATTACTATGGTTTACCTCGTGCCACGTCTTGCAAGAAGAACAAGAGTAAGTACAGTCCATTGTAATGAGCAATTTAAAGCCAAGTTTTTTTATCAAGCATTATCTGCTTGTCAAAACTCTCAAAACATGCAATGACTTCCACATCTAACACGTCTTGAGCCACAGCTTATCAGGAAAAACCAAGTCACCCTCCATTAGAGGGTAGACCTATAGCAAACTGCTTCTCTAGGCTCTTTCAGACTTAACATCAATCTCCTTACTGTTTATAATATTTAGTTTCATCTTAAGCTAACTTATTTTTGAAAATTTATAATACTTAGTCTCTTTACAGATGTTATTTATTTAGGTAAAAAAACAAAAAATGAAAATCATTTTTATTTCTCCACAAAATTGGACATGTTCAGATAAGTGAATTCTATTAATACTGGAAGTAATGTACATGTTGCTCTGAACCTGAAATATAACATCATTTCCTTTTATTCAAATTTACAGGCTTTTTCCCAGAAGAATGGGACAAATTCTTTGTGAAATACCTATACCCATCTTTCACCCCAACAGTTTTCTTGTTTATTGCTGGAACAGTTGCATATGGAGTATTCAAGTACCTCCAAAATGAGAAACTTAAAGAGCAAAACTAATAGAACATGAGAAAATTCTCTGATATTTCCTAATTGTGAAAGGAGACTGTTGATGACTATCAAAATGGGAGCATTTTATATATTTTTCTAAGTCTGTATGTCACATTCTTGTGCCTTCCTTGTGGAGAGAATAGTATGAATAGAGATGAAAAACAAGGAATTTTTCATGTAAGGAAAATAAACAATCACCAATTTGGATCTTTTGGTAGCTTTTTATGTCATAATTGGCCATTGAAGCAACTGTATAGAAACTTTGTATCTCATTATTTGTGACTGCTGTCTCCTTTTTCCATGTCTTTGGGTTCTTTGGTGCATATTAAGTAATTAGCCTTTGGGAGCATGGAGTAGTCATTTATGTTGACATTAAAAATTTACAAATAAGATGAACATTTAAACTTCTAGTTCTTGCTTGAATAAATGATATTGTTTTTTACGCTTCTCATTATGACTGATCTGCTGAAAAGTAAAGGGGTTATCATTTATCAATCCATCATTTATGTTTTTGGAACTGCTTAGATCACTAATTAAGTTATAACTAGAGCAATAATTTTCATCCCGCATGATAATTTCTCTCACGCTTCGTGAGATGTACATAATCTTATTGTTATTCTATTAATGAGCTACAGAGATGTTTCCTAGTGAATATCTATGTACGACTCTTGTCTCTCCTTATGCAGGTTTTTTGCTCTTTCTTTTTTAGCTTTATGCAGGTTTATACTGCAGCAAAAATAGAACATGAAGGATACGCAAGATGATTGGTCAGTTCTTGTCTTTATTTTACATTGTTCAACTTTACATTTAGAATGGCCCTGCTTCTCACCTGTCATAGTACATAAGGAAATTGATAAAGCAAACTTTTATTATTAAAGTGGATCACATTCATAGCTGCTGCTATCATGTCTTGAGGATTCATTTATCAGATACGGATTTATGATATTTCTGTTTTGAAGTGGCTTTAATATGTATGTTGCAGTTGTTGGATCAAATTTGTTGGGTGGAAACATGCTTTGATTTAAATCCTTTTCTTTTTATTTTCGTAATCGTGGTAGTTTAAGGAATGTTTGAGTGGTTTTTTTGAAGGGTTTTCTGAAGATGTATTCTTCCTCCATTCATGATATGCAGCAGTTTTAGTTGTAGTAAACATTGGCAGTTGGCTGCAAATGTGAATTTTCAACATTGCAGGACAAAGGTTTTTAAATCTTTCAGCTATATGGTTCCATTTGCAGGAATGCCTATCAGTCTCAGGTTGGTTCACCTAGCCTGTGTTGAGTTTATCAAATATAAATTCAGGCCTCATAGTTAGGTGCATTCTGAGAATAGCACATGCGATGGTGGAGTTACTGCCAGGTGAACTGTTCACTGACTTCAGAACCACACCATCCATCTGCCTAGTTAAGGAAGATGAAAAGAAAAAGAAAAGCAAGACAGAGAGGAATTGTGACATAATAAATATGGCTTTTGTTTTTGTCCTATGACGAGGAGTTTTAATCTCTTTTCTGCTGCAGCAATGAAGAGGCCTGTGAACTTCCTACTTTCTACTGCATTGTGAAGCTCTTGAATCAATAAAATCTGCAGGTTTGACGGCTGCTTATATATTCAGTTTGCTGAAGCCGTCTTTTATCATCAATTGACTTTTGTTCATGCTGTTATTTGTCAGTTACGCTTGTTTGGTTTGAGGGAATGGAAAGGGGGGAGAGGGGGAGTTGAAGGGTATCATTTTCCTTCCAGTTCTTTCCCCAGCACTCCCTTATTTGGTTAAACTAACACTCTGTTTGGATTGACGAAGCCCCCTCCCCTTGTCCATTTTCAATCCCTCCATTTGGAGGAATTGGGATGGATTACATTACTTAACTTATTTTTGTTTTCAACTTTTTTTAAAATAAATAAATATAAACAATTTATTTCAACTATTTATTTAATTAATAAATTTTAAAAATTTTAATCTTGTTAATTTTATTTTTCATTGAATTATTTAATTAAATAAAAATATTATCCTCTCCTCTCCTTCACTTTTGTCTATCCACGCAAAACTAATATCAAACTTTTCCTCCCCTTCACTTCTCCTCCCTTACCTTCCCCTCTCCTCCGCTTCCTTTTCTTTACTAATATTTATCCAAACATAAGTTAAAATACAAAAGAAATTAAAGTAAGCCAAATTTTGGTTATTCAAATAGGAAAATTTCTCCCCCTCCCCTCCCCCCAAACCAAACAAATTATTAAACTTAAAGATATTTGTGCAGGTTGCACGCTACAAGCAGCATTTAAATTCTTCCTTTTTTCTGGTAAGAAATTAATATGCATAAATGATCACCCATCATGGCGACTTTGCATTGCAAATGCAGAAATAGAAAAATACTACCAAATGACTTTGCATTGATGCAGATGCATTACTAAGGAGTCAGAAGATGCATCCACCAAAAACATGATGAAGAAAGTTTGGTATACAATAAAAGATCAATGACTCTACAGGTAGGGGAGAACCATAAATTGAAGTCCCTAAAAGCTTATTGTTGTATAAGATTAATTAATGATCAAGATGCATTGAGATGATTATATATGATTTATGATGAATGCCACGAGATAGAAACAATATGTGTGCATTTGCATGTGTTCATGCGAAGTTCATACTGTCATTTGGCTGGGAATGATGGATAATATTGCAGATGTAGCGAACACCTTTGTTTCAAAACTTGAAAGTGTGCAAAGGACCCAGAAATCCCATGGCTTGTTACCCACAGTCTTGATCAACCTCACATCATCAGATTTATCAAAGTTCATGCCTCTGTTGTCTCTTGGATTGCATCTGAGGATAGTCTGTTTTGGACCACCAAATCATTAGTTCACAGCATACCCAGTCCAATTCTGTTTTAAGCACTGTCACTTCATGAAAACAGTGGGCAAATTGGATGATATTAGGCCTTGAGGAGGTCCCCTCATCTCATTATTGCTCCTTTTCCTCTTTCAATGCCAATCAATTTGCACCAAACTTTTACCAGTTATTGTCCCTCCCCGTTTTTTCATAATGAATCCTACAAAAGTAACAGGGGGTAATTCTTTAAATTTGAACACAGCACAACTGATTTTTCTGTACTTCCTCTTTGACACTTTTTTTAACCTGTCTTTCTTTCCACTTTCACACGCAACCTCTTCTTTCTTTTTGCTAATTCAACTTAATCTGGATCATAGATTTAGCCATACTCACATTGTACATTCACGGACGTATGATGTAGAATTGGATCAAAGACTTTTCGAGACCTCAGTTTCTCCTTTAATCACGCACATTTTGAACAAATATTTCACTATTAGATTATAATACGGTATAGAAACAAAACCCACAAAACAAAAGCATCATAAATTGAACTGTAGTGAATGCAATTTGTAAAGTGATTATGCCTTGTGTTTGGGGATCGAGTCAAGCCCCTAAAGATCAATGGGATCCAGAAGAAAAAGTTAGTATGTTAGGAAGACAAAGGGGAAAAGTTGTAGGGCATATAATTGTATTAAATTGTCAGGTAAGGTTTAGGTCAAAAATCAAAGGAAGCATGCTGGAAAGCAACAGGCGCCGTTATGGGCTTCTTGTTTTTTTTTTTTCTGCCAATGCTAGTGCCCTAATTTTGCAGGGATGAATGATTGAGAACTAGGTAGGATTTTCTCACCTACTCTGCTGGGTGTTGATTCTTGATTTATCAAGCAAATCTGGGTATTTTCTATTTCAATGTGAAACTCTGACTAAAAGTCCAATATGAGAGCCAGCTGGTTTTACCTACTTGTGAGGCTATTGCTATGCAGCGCCATTGCTTTTCCAACAGCTTCCGCTAGAAGATTAGGATGATGACGAGAAAAATAATGGATAAAGATATAAATTTTGTTTTTTTTTTTTTAATTTAAAGAAGAAAGTTTTATTAATTTTTAAATAAGGTCTTTAATTTTTAATATTTTTTATTTAAGAATTAATTAAGCAGTAACATTGATGTGTCAAATGAGTTTTTTAATTACTTAATTAATTTTTAAATAAAAGACATAAAATAAAAATTTTTAAATAAAAAATAATAAAGTTTATATATTTATTTACATATTTTATAGGATTAAGATCCCTCAACTTTGAAATTTATCCACAAACATTTCATTTATCGAAAAGTATTACACACTCTCAGCTAGGTAGAGATACTATTATCTCTCCAACTAAACAAGCCCTAACAAAATGGTAAAAATAATGAATAACTATATTATACTCGTTTATACTATAATTTAATTCTTTTATAGTATAGTAAAAAAAATTCCAAATGGGTAATTTAATTGTTAAAAATTTGAAAATTTTAAATTAAATATCTCAAATTTAAACCATTATTATCAAATATACTAAAAAAAATAATATAATAAAAAAAGAGTAGTTCCTCAAACCGAATGAGCCAAAAGTACTTAGCTATGTTTGGTATTCGGTAAAATTTTCCTTTTACTCAAGAAAGTGTAATGTTATTTTAGTAGTTACACATCTCAATACTATAATAAAACAAACAAAAAGTAAATTTGATACTTTCGACTCATTTGCCTCTCGTATCATTTCCGATTAGTTTCCCTCAAATTCTTCCAATATAATTTCTATCAAATATAAAACTAGCAATTTAATAAATTTTACCAACTCTATATCTGTGTGCATTATTTTTTGACTTTTTTAAATGAACTTTGTAAGAATGTGTCTAACATGAATCTTAAAAATATAAATTAAGAATTTAATAAATGTATATTTTTACAATTAATTTATAGTAAAAATTATAAAAATTAATATATATTTTAACATCACTCATATGCGAATAATTTTAATTGATTAATTAATTAAATCAAAATTAATATTTATATTTTTAATAAAAATTATTTATAAAAAAAAAAAGATATTTATCATACTATTATTCTATGCCCCAAGGGCACAAGATGAAAAATTCCAATAAACAATTAAGAATGTTATTTTACTGATCCTTTCTTCTTTTGAAGATAAGCAATGATATTTTATTGATCATTATGTGTGGGATACATTTCTTTTTAACTACTAATATAAAAATGAGTCTTTAATGTTGACAAATTGCTCCTCTATCAATATGCTTGTCTATCTATGATTATAACGGACGCAATTTACAAACCCCTAACTCTGTAGTTTGTGGTCATTATCTAAGTGCTCTGCCACCCCACCAAAATTCAACTCTTTTACATCCCACATTCTCCCTTCTCCAATTGCCCCCAATTTCCCTCAATTAAAAAAATAATAATAATAACAGATACAATTTACACATAACGTATTGCATTGGCTTTTTTATAAACAATCACTTAAAATTTGGTATCATGCCAAACGAAAAACGCCTTAACGAAAAAGCAATTCAAATCCTTCATTCAAAAAGAGAAATGGGCAAAGTACATCATGCAAAAAGATCTAATAGCTTGGTCCCACCCCTTTCTTAAAAGCAACAAAGGATCCAGTTGCCTTAAAAATTAAAAATAAAATTATGAAAATAAGGCGGGAAATCAGAATGGGGTTTACAAAAATACGAATAGTAATAATAGTTAATTATTACAAAATCCACATTAACAAACTTTACCTGCCTTCACTAATTTTGCATCAACAGCCACCACAAAACCCCATACCCAAAACCCATAAACCCAAACACAGCAAAAATCCAAAATGTAATTAAAAAAAAAACTACTGATCCAGTGCGTTCGGTCCAGTACAGTAATTCACCACATGGTTCCACACCCATTGAACCAAGTACCGCCGTCTGATCCCGTTCATGTTATACGTGGCGCCATCCCTGTCGTTCAAAAGCTGCCCCGTGTACGACCCTCCGCCTCCAGTTCCGTATATGCCCTCGCACAAATCCGCTATTTCCACCGGAGCCACCGGATCCTGTCCGGCGTACCACGCGTTCACCAATGGGTTCGTCGCCAGCTCCGCAATCTCGTGCCCGATCACGCTTATCATCCCGTCCACCCCCGCGTCGGCGTTCGGTGACTTCAGCGGCTTTAAACCCGGGACGTACTCCGGTACGGCGAATGGATAGGCGCAAACCCCGGGACAGAGTTTCGCAGAGTTACCCACCCACGCGTACGGGAGCGTGTACCCCACGATGGACGGGAATGTGAAATAGTGGAACCCACAAACCTGGCCGCAGAAATCCTGGACGTACACGTCGGCGGATGTGAGTAACAGGTAAAGCCCACTTTTCGGGTTTGTGGGCAGCGGCTTTGTTCTCGCCGTGACCGCGCTCTTTATCACGGACTGTATTGATAGGCGCGTGAGCGATTTCCCATGAGAGTAGAACCGGTCGTTCTTCTCCTTACCCAAACGCACCGACCGGGAGATGTTTGCGCCGGTTTGGTCCGTGTAGAGCTGTACGGTCTTCCACCAGCCGGCGACTGACGGATGCTTTGAGTCGACGGCGGAGATTGAGTTAATGAACTCGCGGATGATCCTCTTTTGGGCCGGCTGCCAGGTCCCGTACCAGATTGTGTGGACCGTGATGTTGGCGGTGAGAACTGGCCCCATGTGGTACTTCATGTGAACAAACTCCGATGACCCCTCGAATTTCTTGGAGCCACCGAAGATTAAATCGGAGCTGTTGGGCTTGAGATGAGGCCATGGGCGCCAGCAAATGACTTGAGACGCCGTCAGTAACACGAGGAGGATCACCGGCAACATCTGGTGCATTAACATCTGGCGCATTTTAGAAGAGAAGCCCCAGTCTAAGTCTGGCGTTAGCGATCAGAGTGGCTATATATACAGAGAGAGAGAAGTATTTAAAATTTTTAAAAAATAAACAAACAAATCAAAATTTTGAATTTTGTTGCGAGGGTAAAATCGTAAAATTGTAAATTTAACTTTTAAAGAAAAAGAATTAATAATTTTTATTGAGTGCATTGATTTGCGGGTGATGGACGACAGATAGATTCTTTAAAAGGGGAAAGGGTGGGGCCTATGGCGGTCAGGGTGGGGGCATCATGATGATCATGATGGTGATCGTCGTCATTATCTGATCGCGATAGCTTATGCTTTTAATCTTTTATTTTATTAATTTTAAGATTTTTATTTTTTATTTTTACCATAAAATTTTTAACATTTAAATTTAAAAGTTTAAAGATTTTTATTTTTAAATTAATAAAATTAGTTAATT